TGAGTTCCATGTCCTGCATTGTCTCTAGGGGATTCTCATTGTGCTCCTCTAGAGGATTACTGGTATTTGGTGGGGATATTTTATTTTGGTTTTTCATGTTATTATTTTTTCTCTGTGATTTTGACATGTGAATTTCTTTTGTAGTTTCTGACTCTTGTGTGATACTCGGGCCTTCAAGTTTAGTTCTGCTTCTTTTATTTTTGAGCTTTATGTGTCTTTGTGGTTTTCTTTTTGGGTATGAAGAGCTGGTTCGTCTAAGCTTCTGGTTCTCTCTTTTGATTTTATATTGTCGAGGCCGGATTGATTTTGTCTTCAGGAGTTCCGCGGTGGCCCAACTCCAATGTGGATCAGAAGTTTTCAGACTTTCTCCTTAGGTCTGGAATCTTCTAAGAATTCTTTTTCCCTCAGGAACTTGGGTGGCAGTGACCTGAGACCCTGGCCGTGGCTGCGCCACCCAGGGATGCAAAGGCAGATGGGGAGGGAAGAAGCCCCAAGATTTCCCAGGGAGTGGATTGAGTAGCTGGGTTGTACTGGATGCAAAGGATCAGGGAGAGTAAAGGTAAGCCTTGGAGCCCTAGAAAGAGGCTGTCAGCCCCAGAAAGAGGCTGGCGGGTGTTGGAGGACCAGGGAAGTAGAGGGAGATGAGGGCAGGGCCAGGACCAGAAGCGGTGCTCCTGGAGCCCAAGAAAGGGACTGAGTTGCTCTGGGTGAGAAGGATCAGGAAACAGTATTGGTTCCCCAGGTGTCTGGGGCCCCAAGACTAGGAATGGCACAGGGTCCAAGCTAGAGTATAGAATGCCAGGCGGGGGGGCAGGGGGGTGGTGGGTGGGGTGGAAGGGTGAATGAGGCTTAGGGAGTCCCGGCGCGGCGAGCTGCACTATAGACTTACCCCAAGAGGCCTGAGGATAGTAGTGCAGGCTAGGAGAGTTAGCCGGTGGTGCAGGCCCAGGGAAGCAGAGCGAGGTGAGGGCAGGGCCAGGACCAGAAGTGGTGCTCCTGGAGCCCAAGAAAGGGACTGGGTTGCTCTGGGTGAGAAGGGTCAGGAAGCAGTATTGGTTTCCCAGGTGTCTGCGGCCCCAAGACTAGGAGTGGCGCAGGGCTCAAACTAGGAGTATAGAACGACGAGGCGGGGGGATGGAAGGGTGAATGTGGCTTAGGGAGTCCCAGCGCGGAGAGCTGCGCTATAGACTTACCCCAAGAGGCCTGAGGATCATAGTGCAGGCTCCCTTTGAAATTGCGCTATAGACTTACCCCAAGAGGCCTGAGGATCTTAGTGCAGGCTCCCTTTGAACTATTTTTCTCCCATGAAATGTTGTTGATGAAGATATTCCCCAACATGCCTCTGTGTGAGTGTCTGTCTATCTCAGACCTCCCTGTAGATCACTGGCTGATGGAGGAATGCTCACAAACCTGGCTTTATTAAACTGAAATGTTGTCACATGCTGGAGTGCCATACAGTCCCATGTCCTAGTAAACATGTACTCCTCCTGTAGAGAACAATCTATTTATAACCACAATCTTCTCATAGGACCTGAGGTGACCAGACTCTTTATCTTCTTTGAAAATAATTTTTGCCTGTAACTTATTACTCGTCTCAAATCCCTGTTCCATCCATTGTACACCCATCTTGCCGGCTTTCTTTCTCACACCTGTTGAATGAGCCCTTGATGAAAACAACAGAGAAACCTGGCCAGGTCAAGACATTCAAGCCCTCTCTAGCAGCCAGAGAGGCCTCTTCCCTGAGTGACCCACGGTTGAAGGCCAGAGGGAAGAGGGGACTCATCCTGCTCCAGGCCAGAGCACAGGCTCAGCCTGCTTCCTCCAGTAAGTCAAAGGGCTATTCTAAAAATTGATGCTTCCAGGGATTGTCAGGTGGCTGCTGGTGACTCCCCCCTGGGTTTTCCTCCTCCCTCCCTCCCTCCCTCCCTTTCTCTTCACGGATTGCCTCCCAAGAGGAGTCTGTTAAACCTCTGTCCTTACAATTCCAGCTCCCACTTCACACAGGAGGGAGAAGCTGGGACGGCACTGCCTGCTGCTGCCTTCTGGATCCTGGGGTGTGTATGGCTGTGTGGGTGGGAGCTGGTGGGGCATCTGAGTGCGTTTGTCGAACTCCTTTCTCGAGGAGAGCTCCAGCCAAGGACAGCTCATATCCCTTTATCTGAAGCTGGGAGGTAGGAAATATTTTCTTGGAATTTATGAAATGTTCTAAACAAGGAAACTGACACAGGAAAAGGAACAGGGTGATATGCTATAAAAGTCAAACTGTAATTTCTAATGATAATTTTGTCTCTAAAGCTTATGATGAGTTTTCCTTCCACTGTTTTATAGAGAAGGGGAAGCACAGCAAAGTCACAGGCTCTGCTCATGAAGTTTAGAAATCCACCATTACTTTTATTAGGAACCATTCAAACACTTGGTACCACTTAAGATGAGATATAATTTTACCCATTTTAACTGAATTGGTAGCACAAAAATCAGATTAACTCTTTGACTCCCTCAAATATAACTTCTTGACAAAATAGAAATCCCCTTGCAAATATCCTGTATTTATTATTTGACAAAAAGGTAGAGTTTTGTTCGACATGTCCACAGATGGTCATTATGGTCAATGTTTCATATTTAAAGTCATTTGGTGATGAAATGACAAAGTAAAACCCACCCCCTTCAGACAGATGGATTTAACTTAAAATGGTAAGTGGTAGGCAGGTCTGTTTCTATTCTGGGAGGCAGAGTTGACAAGCCCAAACAGATGCAGCCACTGGAATGTGACAGGGACAGGGAGCAGGCACAACTGATTGGCAGCCTTGGCAAGGAGTTCTGTGAGATCCCGCCCCTGCCGGCCTGACCTTATGCCTGCTGGCCTGACAGCAACAGTGGCCCTCATTACAAGAGCTCTGAGGCGTGCCCTGTGGAGTGTCTCTCCCACTACACAATAGTTGGTGGGCAGCGGGAAGAACAGAGGGATCTTCTAGAAGCTTTGACCAGAAATCAGGTTTAGACTAGAAAGAATCCTACTTAAAGTCAGTACTTTCTCCTGGACTTGCCCACTCACAGGTGAGGGCCCTGTTAAGCTTCTGTTTCTTGGCAACATCAGTCTAGTGGTTCTAAATGTATTTTTGGATTAAGGACTTTTGGGGCAAAATTTGTGAAAAAAGCTCTGTGCCACTTTCCAGAAGAGTGACATAAAGACATGCACAGTGTGTTTTAGAACAGTTCTCAGGGCTCACGGATCCTCCTGGAACCAAACCCAGAACACGATTGTAAGATACCATACAGGGCACCGATTACACTTGAACTTCCAATGAATCACACATACAAATCAGCAGTTAGCATGTCTGAAGTACCACCTGAGATGTACTTACACTAAAATATGGTTCATAGTTTATCTGAAATTCTAATTGGACATCTTTTGTAAAAAAATTTTTTATTTATTATTTTATGTGTATGCATGTATTGCCTGCACGTAGGCAAGTGCACCTGTGTCATGCAATGCCCACAGAGGTCAGAAGAGGCTGTCGGATCCCCTGGGATTGGAGTTACAGACAGTTGTTAGCTACCATGTGGGTGCTGGGATTCAAACCTGGGTCTTCTGCAAGAGCAACCAGTATTCTTAACCGCTGAGCCATCTCTCCAGCCCCTAATTGGACATCTTGTATCATTTGCTGAATCTGACAACTCAGACCAAAGGAGTAAAGAACTTTGTCTGATAGAGTTGATTCTGGAGTTGTAGGCAGCCAGACTGAGGGAAAGGGATGCTGGACCAGACCTTAACAACTCCGGAAGCAGACACCAACCAGCTCTGTATCAATTGTAAAGTTTTCAAACCAAAAGCAATATACTTCATCTGACAAGAGGTTAAGCTCAACTGGGATGTTTCACCAGAGCCTATCAGAGAGTCAAGGCATAATTAATACCCAAACTCAGTTCCAGTTCTATGATGAGCAAAGAAATGGAAGTCTTAAAAACTTGATTTCCAGCTAGGCATGTGGACTCGGGGGTGCGACGGACCAGCCCAGACCGGAGCACTCAGTCCGACGGGAACAGGGGATCGGAGAGTGGGCAAGGATTTGGCGAGTGATAAACAGACACAACACAAGAGATGGTTGATGATCTGAATGTAATTTGTTAAATTAGAGCATTAGATTTTACACAAGTTACAGAACAAGATTGTACAAACATTAGGTTGATTTTATGGTTAATTATTTTTTTAGAAATACAATTTAAAATCAAAGCAATACAGTACAGTATATAGTGTTTTTATTTAATTAATTAGGTGTTTAGACAATTTGTTTTTTATTTTTTAGTGGTTTGGCAATATTAGTTACTTATAAATTTTATGGCTGGTAATTTTATGGTTTTGTTTTTTTTATTTTATTTTACTTTTGAGGTTATGGTGGCCGAGGCCAATGACTAGGTCAGTGAAGTTGTGAAATAGCATTTTTTTTATAATAACTTTATATAACTTTAAAGGCTTGTTTTTTTAATTTATATTTTTATCTTTTTAATATTTTTTGTAATTGTTTAAATATAGTTTGCTGTTGACTTTTAGTTAAAAGGCACCAAGGTGGTCTGGATCTAGCTAACCCATCCATAAACTGTAGTGAATATTATGAAACTTTTTTTGAATATTTATTTATTTATTTATCATTGTCTTTATAAACTTTTGTATGAGGAAGTGGTTTATCAGTGGGCTCGGGGATACCAAACATGCTCTCCTTTTTTTAAGAGGATGTCATAGCCTACCTCCCCCTAGCTTGTAGGCAATTTTAAAGTTTGCCTTTACTGTAGGCAACAAATTTTTTAGTAGCCCTTTGATTTTTTTGAATCAACTTTAGGGACTGAAGTAGGGGGATTATTTACAAATAATTTTTTTTTGCAGTAACTTATCCAGAATCTTCCAAGGTTGCCTATTCTTAGCTGCTTTTATTATTGCTTGAAACAAGAGAAGAGCATTTGGAGGAAGCATAATATCGGGTGACTGAGTTCCCAGGAAATCATCCATATCTAGTCTCTCTTCAGGTGGGCCTAATGACCTGAGTAGGTACAAAGCAGTTCCTCTATGAGGAAAGAACAGGAATAATATTGCAGCAATGAAGACAAGAACTAAAGCAGAACAGCCAAGGACACAGCATGCTTTTTTAACACAGCCATTTTCCAGGAGGCATTCTTCCTTGAAGTTTTCTCAGCCTTGACCCACGGAGAGTTCCTCACGCGGGCTCCACTGGAGGTGGCGTGATTTTTTTTTTTTTTTTTTAATGTAGCTCGTGTATCTTTTGGTGTAAAGACAGAAGAGAAGATTACTTTGAAGATGATTGGAAGGCAACGGAATAGCAATAAGAAAAAAACAAATATAATGGCCACCATAATAATGGTATGAATCCATCTAAAAGGAGTAAGTGAAGAGATATTATCCTTAAGGGATTGGACTAAATTTCCTATGTCTTTAGGCACATCTAGATGTGCTCTGCTTACCATAGAAATTTTTCATTGTAAGTTTTTTATATTATGGGATATATCTGTATCTTTTTGTACACCTAAGAGATGATTTTTGGTCGCATTTTAATCCAAAGTAGAATTATATTTTAAAGGAGTAACACAAATGAACTTGAAGCTAGCATGGCATTTAGTGGAGAGCTGTGTCTTTAAATTTTGCACCTCTTGCCCGATTATTAAAACCACTTTTTTTCAGTGCATTTATTTTTATTTTTAACTTTTTGTTAATACTATATTGATTAACTGTTACAGAGATATTTTTATTTAAATCATTTATAAAATAAGCTGTCTTTACTTCTTTAACTAATGCTACAGTAGATACTGTTAAGGAGGTAAGTATAGCAATAAGTGCACTAATACCCAAGATCAATGCTGCTACAAAGCGTTTAGGTCTCATAAGCTGATTTAAACTTTTTAACGTTTGTAATGTTGAGTTGTCAAACCATGGATGTTTTTTTAAATCAACCAGCAACATAACAAAACTTGGTCTTTTTAATAAAACTATTACCGAGTACTCTTTGTCCAGAGTGGATGTCAAACAATTAGTTAACACACAGTTTGTATATCTTATATGATAAGATTTCTCATGATTATAAATGGTAGATTTTTTTGGTTTAGCAGCTAAAATTTCATAAGGATAATTTATATATGTTTTTACCCCAATAAATGTAGTTTTAGTTTTTTTAGGCTTTTTTAAGAGCAACATGTTGCAACATGTTGGCAGCCGCGAAAAGGCAGAAGAGGCTAAAATAAATACTAGTCTTATTATTTGTAGGAGAGTGGCTAACGTAAATAGGTGCCACCCATTCAGGAGTATACCATCTCCTAATTGGTTCTTTTAATGTATTAGGAATATAACCATTAAACTTTTTCACATTATTTTTTAAATAAGGGGTATAATTATAATTTGGATTAGCAATGGAATAATCTAAAATATAATTAGGAGACTGTAGTGGGTAATGGATGGCCACAGTGGCTGGATATCCACATTTTTAAGAAAATCTGAGTTTCCCCATCTTTTTGGTCATGTCTTTCAGTGTTGGGGACCCCTTTTGTGTAAAGTAGAAGTCCCTTCATGTCCGGATAGCCCATGGGCTCGGCTTCAAATGCTGGGACTCCTTTTTCAACAGAGTGCTTTCCTTTGGAGGAAGTCTAATATCAGGAAATTGAGTTCCCAAGAAATCATCCATATCTAGTCTCTCTTCAGGTGGGTCTAATTACCTGAGTAGGTACAAAGCAGTTCCTCTATGAGGAAAGAACAGGAATGAAGACAGCAATGAAGACAAGAACTAAAGCAGAACAGCCAAGGACACAGCATGCTTTTTTAACACAGCCATTCTCCAGGAGGCATTCTTCCTTTGAAGTTTTCTCAGCCTCGACCCATGGAGAGTTCCTCAGGTGGGCTCCACTGGAGGTGGCGTGACAGAATTCATGTCTACAAAACCGGCCCTTCAGAGAGTTCTCGAAGCAATACAAAGAGCTGAAGAAAGGAACGACTATGCACAAGGGGATACAGAAAGAAACTTAAAAATCTGAGTTTCCCCATCTTTCTGGTCATGTCTCTCAGCGTCTTTTTGGGTTTTTTTTCTTTTTGAGACTTTATTGTAGGGCCTGATGAACCTGTCGGGAATTTAGATGGGGCCTTTGGCGTCCTGTGGAAACACACATGCATATTGTT